ACTGGGCTCTGTTTCTGTACCATTACGAAGGCTCAAACGCCCTCGCCTGGCTGGGGGTGTTTATTTATTACTATTATTTGTTTTGCATCCTCTTCTACGTCCGTCCATCACTTTACGTTTTTCGCCCCAGCTGCTTGTTGGAATGAGGGTCACTTGCTTCTCCCTCCGTGTCTTGTGCACGCGTGTGTAGTTCGCCCTGTGACGAACGGGAATTTTATGTGCAGGCGCCAATGACCGCGTACGCACACACACACACACGCACACACAGACAGACAGATGTGCGCACACGTGAGGGAGCGAAGGGAACGTCACAAAACATGAATGGTTTGCGAAGAGGAAGTAACGAAACAACAGCCACAACGGAAGGGGCAAAACAAAAAAAGCAGCGAAAGTGAATAAAAGGAGAGAAAGCGAAGGAAGGACCAAGGCAGCGACATGGATGTCGTGGGCCTCGACAGGTGTGTTTACTCGCACCGCGTCCGTACACGCGGACGGACAGGCACACTGCATGGATGAGGGTTGAGACCAATGGAGCGCAATATACGGGAAGGAAGGGAAAGGGCAGAGGGGGTGGGTCCATTCGCGCCATGAGACACTAGTAACACGAGACGCCCAGACGCTGGGCTGTCCATTGCTTTTTGTTTCTTTTTACCTTTCCTGTTTTTGTTTTGTTTTCTTCGTGCCAACCAACTTTCTCCACTGTGTTGTTTCCCACATGCTGAAGTTTTCTGGCAGGAATAAACATCCTCCGCTGTTTGTTTCTCTTGGGCGTGGCCTGTAGTACTCGTGTGCTGCTGCTGCTGCTGCTTTCTTTTTTCATTTTCGCGTTTCTTTTTTTTTGCATGCGGGCGTGTTTGACGTCTTTTTCCTCCCTTTTTCCTCCTTATTCTTTCGCGCTTGCGCGCCAACCACACGCATTAGTAATTAGGTTTAGTTTTTTTTTTGTTTTTGTTTTTTTTGTTTTTTGTTTTTGTTTTTTTCTTTGTTTCTTGTTTTTTCGTCTTTTATTTGTTTTCATTTGAGTCGTGAAACATGAGCCAAATCCCGCTGGTTTCACAGTACGACCCCTACGCCCAGACCGCCCAACTGCAGCAGCTGCAGCAGCAACAGCAGCAACTGCAGCAGTCGCAGATGAACCCGGAGCCCGATGTGCTGCGCAACCTCATGGTGAACTACATTCCCACGACGGTGGACGAGGTACAGCTGCGGCAGCTGTTCGAACGCTATGGGCCCATTGAGTCGGTCAAGATTGTCTGCGACCGTGAGACGCGGCAGAGCCGTGGCTACGGATTTGTGAAGTTTCAGAGTGCTTCGAGTGCCCAACAGGCGATCGCCGGGTTGAACGGCTTCAGCATTCTCAACAAGCGGTTGAAGGTAGCTTTGGCGGCGAGTGGACATCAGCGGTCTGGCGTTGCGGGAGCAGTTGCAGACAGCAACGGATACCTTGGCGCTTACGGCGGCTATGGGGCCTACCCTTCCGCCGCAAACCCCTACGCGCAGCAGCAGATGATGGCGATGTATCAGCAGTACATGATGCAGGCGCCGCAGCAACAGCCACATCAGAGTCAGCAACAGCAGATGCCGCTGTCTACCCAGTCTCCCACGCAGCAGTCCCCGCCGCAGCAGCAGCAGCCGCAGCAGCCTCCTTCGCCGCAGCAGCAGCCCCAAGCTGCCCGACCTGCTCGAAGGTAACGCGGCTTAGGGGGTGCGAGCGCCAGCGGAGGCATTGCATTTGCCTCTGCGTGTGTGTGTGTGCCGTGCCGTGCCGTGCCGGACAGGTTTGTCGGCGTTGCAAGGCTCTTTTTCCCGTTCCCGGCCTACTGGAGGGGCGGGGACGTTGACAAACAAAAAAAACAGATTGAAAAGAGGAAGAAAAAAGGAAGGAAGAAAACAAAAAAAAACAACTCGGCCAACGGAAGAAGATTAACATACGCAAAAAAAAAAGAAAGTGAGCACAGGCGACGCGGGACGCGGTACACGGCGGGAGGGGCGAACGCGCAAGAGTGTTAACGCAAAAAAAAAACAGCAACGCAAGACGCGGGGACGGGGACGGGAAGCAAGAAAGGACAAGGGACTCCACTTAGGGGGCGTAGTGATCTCGCCGGGTCCACCAATTCACCGCAAGAAGGGGGGAAAAAAAAGGAGTAAGAATGAAAAAAAAAAAAGGCCGATGTTGCCCCAAAAACGAAAAAAAACAACAACAACAACAAAACCAAAAAAAAGGAAGGAAGCGAAATAAAGATTGTGATGAAATAACGTTGAAAAATATGAGAAGAAAATGAAGCTCTTTTTTTGGGGGGGCCGCTACATGTATGAATCGTGTGAGATGAAGACAGGGAATGAAAATGAGGAATGCCTCGGTGCAGAAGAAGAGCAGAGCCAATATATATAAGTAGGCTTCTGTGATGAGGGGGTAACGTAAGAGTTTAAGAAATATGCATTCGTCTCACAGAACACCTGTACGCTCTGCTTCGGGTATATCTTACTTTTTGCCCATAACTCCCTCCGCATGTTCTGATAGATGTGAATGCTTATGTATCTACATGGAATACGCCTTACCGATTTAATGGGAGCCTTGGATTGAAGTGACAGCTGTTCCATGGAGCTGACATGCTTTTGTCTCATT